CAAAAGTCAAAGAAAACACATTATTACACAACACAAACATGTACATGTACATCAATTGTGAAACAACACACAGTTAATACTTCTTATATCCATTGCTCAACATATAGTACATGCACACTATGCATGTACCATAGCGTCTTGGCAAAAACATTTACTATTAACAGATGATTTCCTTATTCCTCCTTCATTCCGTCCTCCTCCTCCTCTTACTCACTGAGATAGTCTCTTCTCTCTCTTTCTCCCCAAACATACATGTATCTCTTCAGCTCTCATTTAACTATTTTTCACGCACTCTCTCTTTCTCTTTCTCTACCAATAAAGTCAAAGTTGTTCTCTCCTTACAAAAAATAACAGCTTTTATATACAAAAGTACACATTACCCTAACTAAACAATAAGAGCTATAAACACAATGTACTTGCATCTACGTATGTACATATATATGCATAACACAATTAGGCATTTTCTTTAAAGGGATAATCAACTGCCATAGATAACTATTTAGTCTTTCATTACACAAGGGAAATGCCTTAGCATACTCATAAGGATCAAATTAACATCAAAACATACACAAACAAAGCCAAATAATATCAATAACATGATGGAGCATCACAACACCATATTCCTGCGTCCAGCAATTAGACATGAATCATATACACACAGAGAAATAGTCAATACATTTAGTCATGACCATGCATGCACATACATGTACATAGGACACACCATCTTATATATGCTACATAATGTAATTAGATATATGTGTGTTAATTGATAGCTAGAATAAAACTGAAACCTAAACATTAATACGATACCATGCAAAGAATCCTTTTGAGCAATGCACAGTTTTGCTAACAACACTGAAGTATATGTACATGTACATTGTATGTATTAATACACATATTTTTGATTGTATCCTGAAGACATAGTGTGTATATGTATACATTTCATAATCTCAAAGGATATAAACAACAATCACTGCTATCATCATTTTCACTTTGGCAATCATTATAAAAATTAATGTATCTTACATGTACATGTACATGTACATGTATATACACAATACATGTACATATGCACCAAATTATAACAACAACAACAACCTTATGGGCTCTGTGGGCATGCCTAGAAATCACTCAACCCTTTTATTATATTATTAGACTATTTGTAAGTATGTGAGGTCAAGCGTAGAAGTTGGGGACAGTTCAGGTATGAAAAATGTTTTAATAACAAGTAAAACGTTATTTTTGGATCACAAACTTAAATCAACATTCAAAATACTAAAACTAACATTAATGTACTTTCGTATGGAAAGCAGCAATATACTGACGCAGAACACACCAGCCACACTAACATGTACAATAAGCAGAGGTCAATCACAAGCCTACACACACACACACACACACACACAAACGCGCGCACACACACACACACACACACACACACAAACACACACACACACAAACACACACACACACACACAAGTGGGATCATACCACTTGACTTAACACTACATTCAGTAGTAATGACACATTACACAGTACCGCTGACAGTATGCAAGAAATGCTGATCACTTGTAGTACAACCAATTATGGTAAAAGGAGAATTTCATGTGACCAATAGGCCTTGATAGCAAATTATGAGTGCAATATGATACATTTACATGTACTAATGTAATGCATGAATGTTATCGTATTACCTGGTTCACTGGTGAGAGATGTTTTTTGCTCCAATAAAGGTATGTCATTTATTACATCTTTCTTGACACTAGCACCACCGCTAATGTATAACGTATCTTTACTTCTTTTCTTTCTTCTGTGTCACAATAAAAGAGAGTGAAAGAAAAGTATTGATAATAAAATAAAAGGAAAGTTGAAAGTTATCATTACCTTAGTACAAATACAACAATCAGTATAAATACTATTACTATTAATATTCCAACTAGAGCACCACCTCCAGCACCTCCTAATACTACTGGAGACAAGCCTGTATCACCTGAAAATAAAGAAAAAAGAAGCAAAATAAAACAAAGGCAATCATCAATAAGTGAAAGGAAAGAAAAAGAAAATGGAAGAAGTTTATGAAATGAAAGATTCAATCAAAACAATTGATACCTGCTACAGCAGGTGGAGAAGTTGATGCCGTTGTCGATGGTTGCATTAAACCTAAATAAGAGAAATAAATATACAACATTAAATTAATGCAGTGTCATTATGATCTATTACTTGAGGTAGTAGAGGTGTCCCTAGTAGTAGATACAGAGGAGGAAATGACACTTGATGTAGCGAAGTATTGAGTAGTTGATATTAGGGAAGGTGATGGTAGTGGGGGTAGCTCTAGTGTCTCATTAGCAATAACTGTCCATTCTCCATATCCATTATCAGTGTATGCACGTACACCAAAAATATAACAAGACATATCATTAAGACCAGTAATGTTAATAAATGTATCATCAATGGTTGAATTATAAAACTGTAGTCTTTGAATATCAATGTCATCATCATCTACCATTGAACAGTTACCAGACTCTAAGATATGATATCCTATCTCATATGTGATAATGGGATAGTCTGATGGAATATAACTAGGTACACTCCATGAGATAACAGCCCATGTAGTGTCCATGATACTGGATACTGAACCAACTGGACCAGGTACTAAATAAACACACATTCTCACACAACTGATATAGTATAATAATTACATACCTATTCCAATCTCTACTACAATAGAATCACTGAAGGGACCTCTTCCAGCAGAATTGAAAGCAGCTACACTGATGTTATACTCAGTACCAAATACTAGATCATTCAATATGATATATCTCTGAGTACTGGTGAGGTTGTATGTGATACTACTGTTACTGATAATCACTGTATAGCCTGTGATTAGACCATTACGCTCAGAACAATTGACCTCATTCCAAGTGAGATTATTAATTGGTTGTAATAAAAACAAAGAATCAGCATCACCAGTAGGAGCTACACACAAAAAATAATAAATGCAAAATAATCAATCATCATACCTATTGACAATGTATCTTCAACAATAAAACTAGGATCAGATCCTCCTAGTAAATTACCAGCTCTCACTGTGATGGTATAGTTCATACCACTGTACAGACCTATTAATGTATAACTGTATGTTGTAGTGGACTGATGAGGACCAACAGAGACTGTCTCATTCACTGATGATAACTCCGGACAAGATGGAGTATAGGAGATGGTGTAGTATGTTATATAGTTGTCACTACTAGGAATAGTCCAGTTCACTGTAATACCAGTGGTTGACACATTAGATACTGAGAGACTAGTTACTGGGCTAGGAACTACAACACATATCAATTACACTCTCACAATCATAATAACTCACCATCAATTCTTAACACTGTTGCTGTACTATTAACTGAAGGAAGATCTCTATATGAGTACACACTGATGGTATAGGTACTCATTGGTGAGAGATCTGCTAGTACAATTTCATTTTTACTAGTAGATACTACATTCCTGGTTACACCTCCAGTAGTATACTCAATCACATATCCATTAGTCTCTGATGAAGTGGTCCAGTTCACTTTGATACTAGTAGCATTTAATATAAACCCTCTCACGTTATTTGGAGGACCACTAGGAGCTAGAAAAGAGACAAAGGTATCTACTATTGATTAAAGTATAATCATACCATGTAATATCACAGATTGACTGTAGTTGACTCCTCCAATCATTGCTATACAGGTAACATTAACTGACACTCCCAGTGGATCAGGATATACCAGTAGTGTGTTGTTGTATGTCAGGACATTAATTGATGAGCTATTCTTCATCACTCCATTCACTAACCAGTAAACATCAGTTGAAGGATTTATATCAGTAGCTGTGAGACAATCAATACGATATTGAGTGTTATTGAGTTGTGTAATGGATGAGACTAGTGTCCAATTGATTGAATTAATAACTAGAAATACATCAACAATGTTACAAGTACATTAAAAGGTGCAGTAGCAATACCTGGTAAGGTCTGTACACTGATTGTACTAGCAGGTCCCAGTAATTCTTGATAGGCTCTGACTGTGATGCTATAAGTTGTCTCTATATTCAGTCTATTCAGTGTGATTGTATTATTACTACTTCCCTCCAACTGTACTGTCTGCACAGTGTCTGTGTCACTAGTGACATTAACTACATATCCATCAGCATGAGATGAATCAAGTGCAGTCCAACTGACAGTGATAGTGGTAGTTGTCTTGCTGACCTCAGTAAGAGAAGAGGGAGCAGTTGCTGGTACTATATAACAGAGAGATATTATTTTTGGCAGATTGTATTTTTACCTTTAATGGTTAAAGTACGTGTTCTATCAATACCACCACTAAAATTATCCAGTACACACTGATACATTTGATCTCCAGTGGTTGATTGACTGATTGATCCATTACTGACATTAGTTCCATCCCATGTGATATTAACAGTATATCTTAATGTGTTGGGGTTGCCACTAACTAACACAGTACCACGACAAGTATTGGTTCGATCATCACAATTAGTATAACTAGCCAGTGCAGCACCACCGATGCTAATTCTAATACCATCATAGCGATCGAATCCAATTTTAGTACAATTCAGTTTGTATTCCTGAGGATATACTGTCATATCAGAAGGAAGATCAGCAACAGTAAATGATTCTATCTCTGCAAATCCTACAAATGAAAATTATTACATCAGTAAGTGTTTATATAGTTTTCTCTTACTGAATATATTAGCAAAGATGGTGCCATTGGCATTAGAACAATCAGTGGGTAGACAACACTTGTACCAGCCTTCTTGAGAATTTGATAGTGACTGAGCAAGATAAAGATTGATAGCAGCAGGTGAAGTGACATTAGTACAACGAAAAGGATCATTGTCACTATTACTGTTACAGTCAACAGGATCATCAGTATCAGCAACTCTAACCCACTGACCAGTAGTTAGACTAGTACCAGGTAACACACATGATATAGCTTTAGTAAGTTCTTTGACATTATTGTCAAAGAAATATGATCCATTAGGATAACAGTTTCCATTATATGCTAAATAGATACCTATAAAATGAATGCTTATACATTATATCTATATTAGTTAGGTACCTTCTTGCTGACAAATATGAGTGAAGACACTGATTGCACTACTAGCAGGTCCCAGTAATTGTTGATAGGCTCTGACTGTGATGCTATAAGTTGTTAGTTCTCTCAGTCCATTCAGTGTGATTGTATTATTACTACTTCCCTCCACCTGTACTGTCTGCACAGTGTCTGTGTCATTAGCGACATTGACTACATATCCATCAGCATCAGATGAATCAAGTGCAGTCCAACTGACAGTGATAGTGGTAGCTGTCTTGTTGACCTCAGTAAGAGAAGAGGGAGCAGTTGCTGGTGCTATAGAAATATGTAGTATTTTAAAAGTCAAACATATTATGTACC